CATTCAGTTTTAAGCCTCCTACACAGCTGTTTCTGTTTCAGTTAATGACTGTAGGTGTATGATTAACCAATTATACCACGCAGGTGCCAATGATCATCAATTTCATATGTAGGTTGAAACACAGTCATTAACTGAAACAGAAACAGCTGTGTAGGAGGCTTAAAACTGAAAGGTGTATGATTAACCAATTATACCACGCAGGTGCCAATGATCATCAATTTCATATGTAGGTTGAAACACAGTCATTAACTGAAACAGAAACAGCTGTGTAGGAGGCTTAAAACTGAAATTTTGTAAATTGATAAACATAAACAATTACAATATATATTTTTGAAAGCATTCTTAATTTACAGCATTTTTCACACCTGCCTAAAACTTTTGCACAGTACTGTATATCTATATATCTATCTGTATTTTGTAAATTGATAAACATAAACAATTACAATATATATTTTTGAAAGCATTCTTAATTTACAGCATTTTTCACACCTGCCTAAAACTTTTGCACAGTACTGTATATCTATATATCTATCTGTAGATAAATGATTTGGAGGCAGCTTGTATAGTGGAGCAGTGCTGACTGAAAGAGGAGAGTCCACCCATTACAGCCTGTCAACAGCTCTCCCAAAGCTATTTATAGATAGTGAAAGTGAGCAAGTAAGAGATCAACAGAGACAGATTAGTGATACAACAAGAGAGCCAAACAAGCCAGAGCAATGGAATGAGAGGGATGGAGCATGAAACAGTATAAGCAAGAGACAGCAATGATGTTGGCAATGGAATGAGTGATAGAGAGGGCAATGCAGTGGACAATGGAGAAAGAGGAAAAACAAGGAATAAAGACAAGCAAGTAAGAGTACAAGAGAAAGACGAGTAAGCAAGAAAGACTGAGTGTGATAGGTGAGTGATCATCCATGGAATATCTGTGGGATGGGGGCAGGATTACTGGTAAAGAAATAGTGGAAAGCCTTGTGGATCCACTGATCAAAACTTGTCTTCTCCCCAGCCCTACTATATTCATTTAGCTTTCACTGGCATCATCATCCTTCCAGCACTCCCTTACATTATCTAAGGTGGTTTAGTTACATATCTAAAATGCTGGTGTTTCCTGTCAAGGAAGTTATAACACAATAGCCGTGCTCAATTCAGAGAACTTAATAGGAATCCAGAAACTGCCAAGAAAATCAGCCATTAAAAGTCCATTTCAAAAGGTGTATCTGAGCCTTCTTAAAAGCCGACAAAGTGGTTAGGAACATCATTCAGTAGTGAGTGTACTCTAAGAATTGGGGCAGTTAAGAGAGGGCTCTGTCCAGAAACAAACCCGGACATTTGTAGGTAAACTTCTTAAATCACTTAGACACATTCGCTCAAGCTGCTTATGGAAATGAAATAGGGATTGAAAAGGATCCCACGACCACTCAATTCACTTACCTGGATGAGATTAAAGAACCATGAAAGTCCTTAAGAGAAATTAGACCAAATCAAGAGTCTTGATGCAAATCTGCTTCTCTTCCCAAAACGTGGGCATCAGAAACATTGAAAGCTATCATTGTGTTATTTCATACTGAAATGTGTGGAATGATGTAAAAAGCTATAGTTATCACATTCTCCAGCTCTTCTAAAAGGGAGCCATTTTCTTTGCTTCCATGTTCTGTGCACCAAGTGTCCCATGTGTTCCAATTATAATGCTCCCAAAGATTCTGAGTGGCTGACTTCTTATTGTTTCCAGTGGCAATGTCCCATTGCTACTTTATCTCAGTAGCCCTTGATACAATCTCAAATCTCTTGAGCATCAAGCAGAATCTAAGCCACTTAGCTTGCAAACCTTTGCAGGTTTACTTCAAATTAAGTCCTACTGTGTTCAATGGAATATACAGTGGGGCAAAAAAGTATTTAGTCAGCCACCAATTGTGCAAGTTCTCCCAC